GTCTGCACGATGCACGTGCCTTGTGCATCGACGCACCGTGCGCTACTTTTAAGAAATGAACGCACTTTAGCAGCTTTTAGCTTCTCTTTGTTCTATTATTTTTCTGCTGCAGGGTTTTTCAACCGTGCAGCAGGAAAGCCGAAGCCGGCCGAGGGATAAGAGATAAGAGTCTTTTAAAATAATTTTTCGGAGAAATGAAAATTCGGATTTGTCCGCCCTGCTCATCCTCCCTGCTCCCCTGCGTTCTCCTCTTCCCCTCGCGGGGGCCACGTGATCTCGGGGAGGGGGGGGGGAGGGGAGGGGGTAGTCACGTGACCCTCCCGAGGCCACGTGACCCCCCGCTGAAGTCAGGTGACCCCCTCCCCCCGAGGTCAAGTGGACCCCCTCCCGAACCATACTAGACAATGAGGGGAGGAGGAGGAGGGGGAGGAGGAGGAGGGCGGAGGTCCGGGAGGTCACGTGACCTCGAGGGGACGGGATCACATGACCTTGGGCGGGCCGTCACGTGACTTCGGCGGGGGGAGGGGAGTCACCCCCCGGGGTCACGTGACCTTGGCGGGGGGGAGGGGGGAGGAGGAGGAGCGGAGGGGGAGGAGGACGAGGGGCGACGCCGACGCCGCAGAGGCTGGAAACGGGTCATGTGACCCCTCCCGCCGAGGTCACGTGACCCACCCGGACCAAACTACACAATGAGGGGAGGAGGAGAAGGAGGGGGAGGAAGAGGAGGAGGAGGGGAGGAGGAGGGGGAGGAGGAGGAGGGGGAGGGGCGCGGTTACGCCGACGCCGACGCCGACGCCGCTCAGGCTGGAAACGGGCCCCTAAGAGCTGCGCTCTAAAAATGAAAGACGTTTACAACACCCTGTAATGCCGAAATAGAGCGCAGCTCTTGAGGAGGTGGAGGGAAGGGTACTGAGGGGAGGGTATACCCCTCCTCCCTCCTCTTCTTCATGCTCCCCATCCTCCTCTTTCAAGCTCCTCCCCCTCTCCTCCTCCTCCCCCTCCTCCTCCCTCATTTCCCTCCTCCTCCTTCTCCCCTCCCCCTCCCCCTCTTCCCCGCGTGTTGCATCATGGGAAATGTCCCATAATGCACCGCGCGGGACCCTCGTGACGTCACACGTAACGTCATGAGTGACGTCGTGAGGGTGTCGCGCGGTTCATTATGAAACATTTCCGATAATGCACCGCGCGGTTACGCCGACGGCAACGCCGCTCAAGCCGGAAACGGGCGCCTAGTTCAGGAGTGCCCCAGGGTTCCGTACTTGGGCCGCTTTTGTTTTTGATTTACATTAATGACATTCCAACCTGTATTGATGTACGCTGACGAATGTATTATATATAAAACAATAAAAAGCCATACTGACAATCTTACACTGCAGCAGGCTTTGGATGAGATACTGTGTTGGACTAAAAAATGGCAAATGAAGTTAATTTTTTTTAAAACAGCCGTCATGACAGTGTCCTGTAAAAAAAAACCAGTTCAATTTAGTTACCTACTGGATGGACAACCAGTAAAGCGGGTCGAGGAGTACAAGTATTTAGGACTTCTTTTTAACAATAAACTGAACTGGAACCAGCATTTAGAATTAACGGTTAACAAAGCGAGGGGCACTTTGTTTGCGTGTCGTAGGAAATTAAAATTTGCTGATTTTGACACTAAACTTATTGCTTATAAAAGTTTTATTAGGCCTGTGCTCGAATATGCTAGTTCAGTGTGGTGCCGTTTCACACAAAACGGTATTAACAAGCATGAAAGTATTCAAAAGTTAGCTGCTCGGTTTATTTTTAATGATTATCGTAGAGAAATATCGTCCACCGAATTAGTTATTAGAGCGAAGCTTCAACCGTTGCAAATGAGAGCGAAAATTGATAGATTAAAATTGCTGTTCAATATTCTTACTGGCACTCTTCGTGTTCAAAGCTCTAGCTACATACAACCATTATCGACCCGGTCCTCACGTTTAAACCACACAAGAGCGTTAAAACAATACAGGTTCAAAAACGACTGTTTTAGATATTCTTTTTCCCTCGGGCAATTCAAGAACGGAACGAGTTACCAAATGATGTCGTCAACACAACTGTTGCTAATCTTGTATCTGCTCTTGAATTTATACTTGAGTTTTCATCTATAAATCTGCATCTTGTTTACATGTTTCGCACCCACTCCTACCATGGCTCTTTGAGTGGAGCCAGTAGTATTCCTAAATAAATAAAAATAACACTTTGCTTCTTCACAATTCCGATTGCGCAGGTCAAGCCCTTACAAGGTAGATTGCAGTAAACCACCAGTTGGGTGATCTTGTGTTTACCTTACAATATTATGCATTTATAGTGTTTGGTTAGAATTATTACTTTTAAATACTTTTAGCATTTTGTTTTCAGCTTATTGTGTTGGTGAAGACCGATTGGGTCTTCGCCATTTTAGAGCGCAGCTCTTAGGCGCCCGTTTCCGGCTTGAGCGGCGTCGGCGTCGCCGTCGCCGTCGCCGTCGGCGTAACCGCGCGGTGCATTATGGGTACATTTTCCTGAAGGAACCCGAGGTCCTCCCGAAGGACCTCGGGTTCCTTCGGGAGGACCTCGGAAGAACCTCAGGTTCCTTCGGGAGGACCTCGGGTTCCTTCGGGAGGACCTCGGAGGACCTCGGGTTTCTTCGAGAGGACCTCGGGTTCCTTCGGGAGGACCTCGGGTACCTTCGGGAGGACCCCGGGTTCCTTCGGGAGGACCCCGGGAGAACCTCGGGTGCCTTCCGGAGGACCTCGGGAGGACCTCAGGTTCCTTCTGGAGGACGTCGGACCTCGGGTACCTTCGGTGACCTCGGGGAGGGTGGTCACGTGAACCCCGAGGTCACGTGACCCCCCTCCCCCGAGGTCACCGAAGGTACCCGAGGTCCCGTGACCACCCCCCCCCCCGAGGTCACGTGAAACCCCCCAGGTCACGTGACCACCGAGGTCACGTGACCCCTCTCCCCCCCAAGAACACGTGACCCTCAGTACCCTTCCCTCCTCCTCCTCCAGAGCTGCACTCTAATTCGGCGTTACAGGGAGTTGTAAACGGCTTTCATTTTTTAAGACCTGGTTTCTGAACGCTCAAAAATCAAATTTATTATTATTAATCATTGGGATATCTGTTTTATTTCACTTCTAATTTATCACACCAAAAACCAAAAAAAAATAGCTGTGAATACTTATAAACTCGATATGCTGAAACCTTCAGACAAAAATGCTACCCTAGCCTAGTCAGCTTAATGACATATCTTAAACAGCATTAATTTTCTGAGGACCTAATTTTTACAGAGTTTGAGACTGAAAATATTCTGAAAAAAGTATTGTGCAATCATATTAGCCCATGATAACTAATACATAGCGCACCACTCTAATAACTAAATTTTGCACCCACGAACAATTCCTCAAACTCCCACTTCGCAAAATACTATTGAACCTGCAATAATAGTCGTTTACAATATGTCATCTACATTTTTTTTTCTTTTTCGAATTGCACAGTTCTAGAGTGAACCATCTGATTCTTCATAATTTTGTGTTACCTGAACAAGAATGAGAAACTGTTTTCTCTCAAAAAAGGAGTCTTAATGATTCTTCATATTTTGCACCAAATGTTTTACATTCGTTTAAAAAACACAAGCGTGATCAAATCTAATACCTCTTCCCAGGGAAAATCGAATTACGGCCGTTGCCTTCTGCACCATATATTCGGGAGTTGCAAGACTTGAAACTTTTTCTGGAGAGAATGCAGTGGGCATGACCAGCGGACAGAATTTTTCAATGGCAAAAGAAACTATCTGTCTTTTATGCAACATAGAGCGAGGGACAGCCTCTACTTCCCTGAGCAATGTTATTCGACAACCCACAAATCGTTCAAGTCATTCTGGAAAGCAACCCACAGGGTCAATATGTTCATACCCTCTTGAACCAGGTCAGTTGGATTGTGTTTCGGCTCACATACCAATGTCTGTCTATACTTCGTTTCACCTTATGTGCGAGCGAAGGCAAAGCTGGAAGCACGAGCACGAAAGCTCCGTGCGTTCAGGCTTTGCTCGAGCGCGCGAGCTGGGGAGAAACGCAAAAAGCGCTGGTCTCGCGCTTCTAGCTTCGGATTCGCTTGCAGAGAAAGTGAAACGAAGTATAATTACGTTTGAGAGCCCCCCTTTTTTAGAGCGCAGCTCTTAGGAGCCCGTTGCCGGCTTGAGCGGCGTCGCCGTCGGCGTGAGCGTCGATGTCGGTGTAACCGCGCGGTGCATTATGGGAAATGTCCCATAATGCACCTCGCGAGCCCCCCCCCCCCCCCCCCGGGGGTCACGTGACCCCTCCTCGAGGTCACGTGATCCCCAGGTCACGTGGCTCTCCTGAGGTCACGTGACCCCCCTTCCCCGAGGTCATGTGATCCCACCCCCGAAGTCACGTGACCCCCTTCCCTCGAGGTCCTGTGACCCCCTCCCCCGAGGTCACGTGACCCCGAGGTCACGTTACCCCCCCCCGGAGGGGATTCAAGAATAAGAGGAGGAGTAGGATAAGCAGGTGAGGAGGAGGGAGGAGGGGTACACCCTCCCCTAGTACCCTTCCATCCTCCTCCTCAAGAGCTGCACTCTAATTCAGCGTTACAGGTAGTTCTTACAGTTACAGTTACAGGCTTTCACTTTTCTAACAAACATGGTTTAATTTTGGGTAGCATCACCGCACTGCCTTGCATTATGCCTGTGGAATGACAAATGCAAAGGAAATTGTCAAACTGCTCATGAATGCTGCTTGTTCTGAACACACTCTCGACAGAGTGAGTACTGTATCTCTGGAACTTGTGTCTGAGTCTCCAGAAGAGTCGGAATTTGACTTCGAATACCCCATAGCTTTCCAGATTGGGAAGGAGCCACTGGACTTTAAATTGCGGTGTGAGTGGCCCGCTATGGAGGCACTGGTCAAATCCTTACGCCACAAGGCAAGTTTGAGGGGAGGAGGAGGGGAGGAAAATTTGTTCATTTTTAACACTGTGAAAATTTGAAGTAAGTTTACGAGGGGCATTTCAAGTTGTAAGGTCTCGCAAGAGTCTTTTCTTTGGAATGTGAGTGGGAAAGATATGAGGGGCATTTTAAATATGCGGGACTTTATTTGGAGTGGATGCGGGAAGGAGCAACATCGTCAAAGTCATACATAAAATACTCGTGGCACCACCTGATCTTAACATTCAACACAAATCAAACAGAGCCGCATCCAAGAGTCAGGGTTTGGGAATCAACCCTTATCCTCAACAAAACCTTTATGACACATGTTACATTATGCTGGTCCTCAATAACAACATTAAGTATAAATTTCCCTGGCCTTGAACACTCGCTCTTCAAGAAAGATTTCTAAGTGTGCTCCTGGCACAATTGACAGAAGTATGCAATTATAACCGAAGCAGGGTGCCTAGTGGCAAAAGACATGCCCAGATTTAGCACATTTGCGGAGCACTGGCTTTCGCCAGCTGGAGACCGAGCCGCCAAGGCCTCTTCTTCCCAGACACTAGGTCGGCCACTCCCGAACTGTCGACGAAGAGGCAAAGCTGGTCCTGCAGCCTGCGCTTCATCTTTTCCGCCGCTTCCTCTGACGTCCCAGAGGAGGCGTTTTCAACCAGGATGGTGCCATAGCCAAGTTCCAACGCATGCAGAGCAGTGAAGGCTACGCAGATGTCGTACGCGAGGCCACAGAGAAAGACGGTAGTGATGCCATGCTTACGTAGCTCACTGTGCAGCGAGGTCTCGAAGCGCCTTGCGTTATCCCAGAAGGCAGAATAGCTGTCTACGCCTGTCTTCTCGCCTTTATAGATCTTCAGGGCCTTGTCTGCGAGTTTTAGGTCCTTGTGCAGCTGTGCACCCCAGCTGCCCTGCACGCAGTGGCTCGGCCAGAGTGTCTGCTCCACATATCCAGACTCAGAACAAGGGTCACAGAAGACTACAGTGTCCAGGACCCTGGCATCTTGCGCGCTCACCTTGCTGCTCGGGTGGAAGGCCCGGCGGTGCTTGTTTTCGAAGAAAGAGATGTGGTCCTTGGGGTGCCAGTCGAAGGTATAGACGACGACATCAAAGGGCAGGTGTTCGGTCAAGTCGTTGATCACCGGAACAACGCTTTCGGGGTCTCGTCCGGCAGGAATGTTCTTGAGGGACAGCGACCCAGAGATGAAGTCGTTCTGAACGTCAACGGCAACAAATGCGCATTTGGGACGGAGCATGGGAACTACCCACTGTTCCCACATGGCCTCGAATTCAGAAAAGTCGAGCTTCCCATCTTGGTTTCGATCAAATATCTTGAAGAGTTTCTCAACCACATCCTCTTTGTCACCCGCGGGGTCTGCATCCTCAAAATCTGTAAATAATGATCCAAGGAAGACAGCAAACTCTTCCTTGGACAGTGGTTCAGTCTGCGCCTTCTGGAGTCGGCTGAAGCACGCCAGCGGGCTCTCGAACGTCAGGGCCTCCATTCTCGACACCGTCTGCAATATCGACCGCGTCTCCGTCTGTCTCCGCACGATATGACGCACGTACAGTCGTACACCGGACCCTCCTCGCCCTCCTCTCGGCTTGCAGGAGCCACGCCGGATCAAAGATAAAGGGGCAAAGGCAGTAGACGTAGTTAGACCTGTGCGCCGCCGCCGCCCTGCGCCGCCGCCGGAATCCGCAGAGCCAGCACGCCGCCGCCGCCGCCGGGCAAAAAATCCGGCGCGCCGCCAATGCCACCAATTTTTCCTTCTTTCTTTTTTTTTTTTTTGGGGGGGGGGGGGGGGGCGTGTGCGTAGCATTGGTGTTTTTATTTTTTCCTTCTGCTTCTGTAAGAAAAGCTCGTTCACACTCTTGCAACTGAGTACGACAGAGAGCGACAAGACCGTTTTTTAATCCTCTTACGACGTCTTAGGACCAGCCCCGCAGCAGCGCGCCCAGTCCTAAGACGTCGCAAGAGGCTTAAAAACCGGTTCTGTCTCTCTCGGTCACACTCTTGAAACCGAGTAAGACCGAGAGAGACCAGACATGTTTTTAAGCCTCTTGCGATCTCTTAGGACCAGTTCCGCTTCCGCGCATCCGGTCCTAGGACGTTCCAAGCGGCTTAAAAACCGGTCTGGTCTCCCTCGGTCTTACTCGGTCGCATATATGTAGGGTTGTTCGTTTTTGGGTTTTATTTTTTTATAAATTCTGGGGGTAAAAATCGGGTGCTATTTTTCAGGCTGATAATCGGGGAGAAATCGTTTTTTTTTTGAGGAAACATTCGGAAATTCGGGCTTTTTCGGGTTAAATACACGAATGTACTCAATAATACATTAGTTGTTTTTTTTTTTTGTTTTTTTATTAGAGAATATTATGAGCTGTTTATTGCTAACGCGTTAAAATTAGTGATGTGTTTCAAGCTGGTAACTGGGAGGGGGGGGGGGGGGGGGGCATCAGGGGTTTCCAGCTTCGACTGCCGTCGGTCGCTTCAAGGGAAGTACCGCCCAAGGAATCCTCCTCTCTCTCAGGTGCCAACAAAAACCCCGACCGTTCGAGGGACGGTCGTCTTCGATCAGCGCTATGAAATAAACCTGTTAAGTTTTTCCGATCTGTTTACGCGACCGATTGGCTCGAACGTTTTTCGTGAGAAAGGTTGGACGTCAGCGCGATGGCCATGAGAGACCCTGCTGGGCGTTAACACCTAACAGCGGCCAAAGGGGGATTGATAGTGCATTTCACAAGCTGCGTGCAGCAGGGCCGAAGCTACGTGGTGTGCCGAGGCGGTTCCACCTGCACAGCGGGGGGACGGAAATGTCCCTCCGAGGCCCCAACGCCTATTGTCGCTTTTCCTCAGCCGGCCTCCGTAGAATGCCACGGTGAGTTGGCGCGCTCGTAGGGCGGTTGGTTCAGAGCCGTGTAGCGTCCACAGTGCTGCACGCAGCATGCGAAATAAACTACAGGTCCCGAAGTAGGGTAGATAGCGTGTGTGCACGGCAAACTCCGTGCGGCGTAAAAATAAAGAGATTGGTATGTGGTTTTGGAATTCGGGGAGAAATTGGGTTTAACCCGATTTGAGGGTGAAACACGTTCGGGGTGTAAAAATCGGGTAAAATCGTGTTTTACCCGAAAACGAACAACCCTACATATATGGGACCGGCGCTTTAAAGGGATACTGAATCGAAACTTAAAATATACAGGAAACACCTAGAGATAAGTCCAAATGGAATCAGATAAACCTGTAATTGATAATCGCATAGTCATATTTCAAGCGGAAGGCTGTATTTTTCGTTCTAAATGTCTGAATTTCGGCGAGCGCTTCAAAATCAGCCGTCGAAGAGCGCGATGCACCTCGGGAGATCCGGCGCGGTCTTGACGTCATCATGCCTCGGAGGGCCAAGCGTACCGTAGTTATGAGTCTTGCCACTTGGCGGCGTCAGCGTGTTACCATCTCGCATAGTCGAAGTACCCGAGGGCTGAAGGATATTGCGGAGCCGGCGGAGCGGCTTCAAGTGAATGGTCGCCGTCCAACGCGACGAGAGCGGTGGGTAGATGACATCAATAAGAACGAAGATGCCGCCACGCCGCTACATCACCAGGCCATGATGGCCGAGAAGCGATTCTGCCTAGAGTCGTATTGGTACGACCCGTCTTGTCTTCGCCTTGTCTTGTCTTCGTCGTCCGCAACAGGTAACATAGCTTATTCACAAAACGATCTTACAGCAAAACCTAAGAAAAGTTCCGTATTCACGAAGCGAACTTATCGCAAGTTTTTCGCACTCTACAATGAGATTTTACTGTCGCGAAGTGTTGCTCGCGCGAGTATTTAGTCTAGCTTCACTTTACGTTTTTTGCCTTCTCCGAGAGTTCTTTCCGTCTACACGGGACGGCTGTTGGATTCCACCGGAGTCGGGGAGCCCCAACTGGGGGCGAACGTGAACGCTGTAACGCTACACTTAGTTTACAGAACCACGCGTTCAAAACGTTTTGTCTTGTGTATGTTTGCATTTGGGCTCTCTACTTCGGAGGTGGTTTTGCGCTGTGTATGTGTAACTTCTCTACCTACGAATGTGCTTTCTGTTGTTTATGGCTGCTCTTGCGAGCTTCCTTTGGAATGTGCTCTGTCTCGTATATGCGCTTGTTTTTGGAATGTTCGTATTTGCTTTAGGCTCCGAGCCTTTGATTGGCTCTAAGAAAACCCCTCTTGATTGGTCCTTCCCAAACTTTCTGATTGGTGGACTGGAGGAGCCCAGAATGCTGCTGAACCCAAAATAAGCGGCCACCGTAGGGCCGTAAGGCGCTTGGCTCCCGGATACCATGCCGTGAAGATCATCCTGCCTCTGGAAACCAACCTGCACGTCCGACCCCCCTTCGGCTGTGGAGCCGTCCGCCCGCTAGCTCGCAAACTTGGTTCCCCTTACGGCTGTGGAGGAGTTCGGCTCACCCGCCTTTGTGTGGAACCTTATTTGTCGAGTTTGGCTGTGGTCGGGGCCCCCGCTGAGGGTGTGTGTGGTCAGGGGGGACGGCAGGGAAAGTTTCCTTAGGTTGCGATTGTTCCCCCCAACATTTGAAAAAAGAAAAAGAAGAAGAAGCCGTAGCATCCGAACGTTTGTTTCCACCGCTCTGTATATATTGTCGCGAAGTTTTGCTCGCGCGAGTATTTAGTCTAGCTTCACTTTATGTTTTTTGCTTCTCCGAGAGTTCTTTCCGTCTACACGGGACGGCTCATGGATTCCACCGGAGTCGGGGGGCCCCGAATGGGGGCGAACGTGAACGCTGTAACGCTACACTTAGTTTATAGAACCCCGTGTTGGAAACGTTTTGTCTTGTGTATGTTTGCATTTCGGATCTCTACTTCGGAGGTGGTTTTGCTTTGCGTATGTATAACTTCTGTGGCTAAGAATGTGCTTTCTATTGTTTATGACTGCTCTTGTGAGCTTCGTTTGGAAAGTGTTCGGTCTCGCGTATGCGCATGTTTTTTGGAATGTTCGTATTTGCTTTGGGCTCCGAGCCTTTTGATTGGTGCTAAGAAAACCCCTCTCGATTGGTCCTTCCAAAATTATCTGATTGGTGGACTTGAGGACCCCAGAATGCTGCTGAACCCAATATAAGCGGCCACCGAGGGGCCGTAAGGGACTTGGCTCCCGGATACCAAGTCTTGGAACTCTCCCTGCCTCTGGAGGCCAACCTGTACGTCCGACCCACTTCGGCTGTGGAGTCTTCCGCCCGCTAACTCGCAAACTTGGGACCCCTTACGGCTGTGGAGGAGTTCGGCTCGCCCGCCTTTGTGTGGATCCTTGTTTGTCGAGTTTGGCTGTGGTCGGGGGCACCCGCTGAAGGTGCGGTCTCGGAGGACGGCAGGGGAAGTCGCCAGAGGTTAGGATTATTCCCCCCCCCCCCCAAAAGTTTAATCTCAAATTATATAATGTTCAAAGTGATGTAAAAGAGTCTTTGTCTAGATCCCTTTAATAAACAGTGTGCTTGTTAACATCAGAAATCGTTTCATCAACAAAGAAGAGGAGTCCTTTATTTTCTTCGTTACAATATTATCTTGAATAGCAATCCTGATGACTCACAAACGACTTGCCAACTACAGATTTGTGCCACGGACTCGACTACCGCTATAATCATCCGGCGACCTCCAGTCTGGTGACGGACTTCTACCTTTCTACGGGATCACATTCGTTCTCGATATGCTAAGAACGACCCAGGTATCGCATCACGGAAGCTGACTCGTCTGTTATTTGCGCCTTCAAGGAACTGCGTGGCTTTCACCGGCAACAGTCATCACAAGCGAAGACGTCTGCCTCACCCAACTGCAGCAAGTATTCGCCCTTTTCGTTTGCCCCTTTACCATGCCTGTGAAAGAGTGCACAGTATGCTCAAAACTGCTGCCTGATGATGGACGCTTTCTAACCTGCGTAGAATGCTCTTTTCCGTACCACATGGGTACTCCTTGCTCAGGTGTGGCGGAATCTACGTTCCAGGTTATGGGAACTAAGAAACGAGAAAAATGGCGCTGTCGGTCATGTCGCGCGAAAGACGGACGGGAGTCATCGGCCCCTGATAAGGTCTCCTCACAGTTGGATATTGCGAACCTGTCAGCTCAGTTTGCTGAAGTGAACGAAAAGCTGGATCAACTTCTTTCACTTAAGGAGAAAGTAGATAGTCTCCTTGGACTACCAGCCCAAGTGAATGACCTGTTGACCTTAAAAACAACATTCGAAGAAATGAAGGCCACTGTGAACGAGCTGAAGACCTCCGTGGAGTTCAACTCAGGCCAATATGACCAGCTACTTGTCGAAATGACAACAAGTAAAAAGGAAATAAAAGACCTGAAAGCAGAGATGACTCAACTGAAAAATGTTGTGTCTGAGAACGCTGCATGCATCTCCCATCTCCAGGTCGAGTTAAACGACGCTGAACAGTACAACCGCCTGCCTAATTTAGAAATCCATGGCATGCCGGTGTCAACCAATGAAGACCTCAAAAAATCCGTCTTTGACCGCGCAGACAAACTGTCAATCACATCTTTTCAACCTTCTGACACAGTGGCTGTCCACAGGCTCCCAAGAAAAAAGGATAAGATCCCCCCGATTTTGGTTCGATTTTCGTCA